GGGAGAGGTCAAATCTCAAAAATTTTGTTTTCAAAATGTTCCTCGTCATGTAATCTATTGGAATATATGGGTCGTTTTCGTGTAGAAAGGGTGGCAGATTTCGTTACTTATCCGGCGTGGTCCTTTATCTAGTATACAGCAATACTGAACATACATATAATAGATATTTATTGAAGTTTCAGTTGTGTAATGATAATAATACAAGATAGTTTATACTCACTACTTCCAATCTTCTGGTGTTTTGAGTATTTGCAAACAGCGAATCGATGTAGAGAGAAAAAGAGATTTATCCGCTAGAGAATACTATGATGGCAGAAAAATTATGGATTTAACACAACTTTTCGCGCCAATTTTAATATAAGAAGAAAAGAGTGTAAATCAAACTAAATAGATAATTCCTTCGAAAAAATAGTCTGACACTGATAATCAGGGGTTTCTATCCTATGGTACCTTTGAGGCAAATTGTACCAAACAAGAATTTGAGTGGGTACATTTTTAAATTTTAAGAAGTTGTAAAAGAAGTTCATATGTCAGAAGTGGAATCTCCTATATTAAACATCTTCGCCGCACAACTTGAATATTTTATTTTATTTTCGGCATCTACCGGTATATAAAACCAGAAGCTAATGATAACGTCTGGAAAACACACAGCATTTGTCAGATAAGGATAATAAAAATTCACCCAAACGTCAACTGTAATAGTTGCCTTTTCTCTTTTGACGTTTGTACAGTAGATAAATGTCTGAAGATTGTTTTATTTTTCGTGTTTTAGATTTGTGTTTTTTGATAAAAATATGAAAGCATTACTGTTTTATTGTGCCTTTATTCTTGTGTCATTTTATGCTTTGTCAGGTATTTCTTAACGAATTGTCTTTGTTTGATGCACACTTCTTTATGCATGTTTTGTAATTTTTAGTGCTATCAATAAAATGTTATGTGTGTAAAGAGCCTGATTTAAAATGTCGTGATCCATTTCAAAATGACACAATATTTTTGAAAGATTGTGCACAAGTTGGAATGGCAAATGCAACAATGTGTAGAAAATATATGTGGGAAAGTATGTTGAACTTGATTTCTCTTTTCATTACATCGTTTCTCTTCTATACTTAAATTTAGTCGGTGATGGTGTTACATATTTTCAACGTGGATGTGCTGTGCATGGACGTGTTAGTAGAAAACAAGGAAGAAATTGTATTGAAAGAATAGGTAAGCACGCTCTTGAAAATTATCAGAACTCGTTTAGAATCAAACAGACTATACAGTCAATGTGAGATAAGACTGAAAAAAGTTTTGTAAAAAACTAGAATTCATATTTTTTGTTTAGGAACATGGAAGACAAAAATGTGGTATTGTCAATGTGATAATAAAGACGGTTGTAATACGAGTACATCTTTACATTCATCTAAAATATTAATTTTATTCGTTATTTGTTTATTTTTTTGGATCAAATAGTAGAGAAGTCTTCAATTTCTTTTGCATAAATAATAGTATTTTTTTATAAGTTTTTTTGAAGTGCTTTTTCTGTGTAAAGATATATAGTCCAATTTGTGTATTACATCCATATCTTTTTCTCTAAATTTTAAGAGATTAATATCGTCCATTTTTTGGATAATTAAATATTATTTTTGAACTGTTTGCATATGCGCTGTTTATCTATCAATGATAGTAGACAGTTATTTATCATCAAATTATATTTTTCGCTGCAATAAAATTTATTTTGCTTCCATTTTATGTCTAGAATGATTATCTCATGGTTCTACTTTCGCTCTTTTGATATTATGTTCAACGCTCACTTAAATCTGTAATTTATTGTGTCTCAACTGCTGATTTTGTTATGCATTTGCGATTTTTCATGTTTCAAAACAAAAATTTTGTTTGTCTTTGCGTTAAAACATATTCTCATTTTTATTGGAATTTCTTTATTTTAGTTACTGACTTTTCTTAATTTGTTTTTGATATAAATTTTATTTTTGGGTTTTTTTTATATACGTAGAATTTATATGTAATATATATTGTAGTAAAAACCGAATTAAAGATAATAAGATAGTTCAACGATATTAACATATTATAGATATGACGTAATACAAAAGATCGTAGAAGCCAAAATACCATTTTTTGCTTTGATAAAATTGAGTACTGAATAAACGTACAATATTTGTAGCACCATGCTCAAGTGATTTCAGGTTAACTACTAAAGCAAAAACTACCATAGATGCTGTTTATATCTATCTAGTCTCAAAGATGTAGACGAACTTTTGGGTTTTAAAGTTTATGTACCACAATATTATCGTCATCAATGGATGTCGTGCATCATCTTTCGAATGTTTTCCATGTCATGTAGTCAAGACTTGGTCCAGAAGTGTGGCAATAGACTAACCGAAGTCTTGTTGATATAATTTCTTATTGATGAAGTCTGTGGTCCATAAAATCCTATACCATAACTGACAATGCTATAACCTAAACGACATATGTTAAATGAGATGAAGCAATTGATCACAATACGGCTTATTCCACGGTGTTCTTTGGTCAAACGGTTCAAATCATTTGGGACGGCACATACTTCTACATAAATAAAAGCAGCGATCACTCATTTCAAACAGCACCCTAGTGAAGCTTTTTTTCTCAAGCACATGACTTTCTTGAATTTCTTGAGTAAGAATCTCATCGCGTGGAGACATTTCTTGCTCATGCAAAACGCATTTTTTCCGATGTTATGCGCGTGACTCATGTGCTTGAGTTCCGTATCTCAAGAAACTCATGCGCATGAGATTCTTACCTCAAGCGCTTGAATATCTCATGCGCTTGACTTTCGTGAGCCAAACTATTCTGTCTTGCCTTTTCGATCTG